AGTAGTTTTACTCTCTTACTAAACGGTCAAAACTTTTTGTTTTTGTATCATTTTGTATCTCTGTATGACTGCTTTACTATATGTGAAAATAAGAAAAAGATAAATATAGGGCGTATATAAAAATGACTTAAATATCCTAAAAATTTCAGAAAAACAGAGAAAATTCGGATTAGCCAAAATCCATGTTTGTTAAACTATTTGTGTCAATTTGGTAATATCATCTTATAGACCCTATATGGTAATATCTTTTTATGCAAAAAGAAAAACATTTAATCTTTTGAAATAGAAAAATCTACGAGGGCCGTTCAAAAATTACGCGGACTGTGCTATTATTTACTCTTACAGACGTCATATAGTTATAAAATTTCACAGAAATATGTATCTTAAAGATTCCAATAAATTTTTGGCAAAATTTCTGTATTTTAAAAATATTCTACTAAAATTATCGGTATGTTGATATCGTTGATGGAGAGGTACGGCGCACGACAAAAAAATTGAAGCAAAATCATGCGGATTCAAAAATTTAACTCATTGATTTTCTAAAATTCGCTATATTTTTCAACAATTTTCTCAAATTTACCTTTAAATTGTTCTATTATTATGTATTTAGATTTCGGACGTAATATTTGAAGTACTAACAGAAATATAGTGATTTTTCTCTGATGCGATTCCCGTGAAAACGACTGTGAAAAATGACGTCTCCTGAATTGACGGCGCGCCACACTTTTGTTAAAATATGTGTAATGCTCGAGATATCGGCAACATAGAACCAAAATATGCATAATAAAACATGTAGTAAACTAGGCTACTCGTGACATTCGCCCACAAATAGCAAATTGAAATTTTAGACAGTTAGACCTCTGTAAAAGGGCTATACGGGAGGACGGGAAGAAGATTATAGACGAAAAATTAACTTTATCCGGACTGTAAAGAACATGATTGAGAGTCACCAATATCACACTATATCTCATAAGTAGTTTTTGGTTTAAAAAAAAAAAAAAAATCTTTACTTGTTTAATAGATTTTAAGCTTGACAAGAAATGGTGTTTTGATGTTGAGTAGATAAGGTAACTCAAACTATACAGGTACTCAAGGGAAAATGTTGAGAAAATGAAAGCTCAATCACATATTTTTTATAGTGCTTGTGACGTCGAAGATTTTGCTGCGCCGTGACTTAATGGTATGTCCTGAAAAATCACTCAAAATTAATACCAATTTACAACATTTTGATATGAAATTTTGAAGACCATATAAGTGAAGATTCTTTTATATTATTTGTGAAATTTTGCCCGATTATGTCGTCAAATATTTTTCTGTGCAACAAGTCCGCGTAATTTTTGAACGGCCCTCGTATCTCATGATTGGATGCCGTTTATTTTATTTTTTATGATCAGGGAAAAGGTTATGACCTTGACCTGACCTTGACTCAAATATAAAACGGTCAAAACTAATCAAACTAATACCATCACTTAGTAACATTGCCTTCATGATTCTGTGAAAATTTCATTAATTTTTAAATACAAGAACTACAGTTTTGTGGGAGAAGAATCCTACCTTAGGTCACACGTGTGTAATGAGTTTTGGGACATATTGGTCAAGAAAATACGTGGCGTTAAAAAAGTAAGTGGATCAATGGAAGCAATATAGAAGTATCAGAGGTAGGGCTGTACTAGTATATTAAATGACCGGAACGCGGAACAATTACTTCGGTTGTTAAGTGTACGGTTCCGTTCTTCCGGAATTCGGTTCGGGTCCGATATGTATAATAGAGAAGATTTTACTATAAAAATGGCGTCAAAAACGAGAGATTTGTTAGTACATTGTCATGAAAAGACAGGATTTCAGATTGGCGTCGGCCATTTGCCAATAAAATTTCAAAATGGCAGGAAAAAAATAAATTTACCTGCCATGTTGGCCTATAAGTTTGACATTGAACGGACAGAATGGCCGATTATCTTCTGTATGTAAGGGCCAGTCGTATAATTTTCCCCCCTTCAGATCCGATTGTTTTTCTCTACTTTCTGCAACTGCCGATTCAATCAGCCAATGACATTTTGGTATAAATAGATCTTGACAAAATACTCTATAATTTTATTTCCAAACCCAACTGCAAGGAGCATAAGAGTAGTGATGAATGTTTAAAACATCGAAGGAATCCATGCCATGTTGTTTTTTTACCGCCATGATTAAATATGGGGTCGGACTAATAGCAGGAAACGGACAATGTTGCAAAGTTTTACTAAGGGAAAAAAATTATTCTATGTAATCTTTAAACGTGATTATACATTGAATATCATTAGAGATACAAGTCTAATTTTTGTATTACTTTTCTTAAAAATTATATTCCCAAGAAATAAATACATGTACAAGTAATAAAAGGTGGGACTAATATAAGTTAAATACCCATTGAATGGAATTAAAAAAAAAAACAATTCCCATTCTGTTTCAATATATTAGTTTTGTTTAAAAGAAAGCAAAATAATATTTCCACCTTATTAAAAGGAAAATTAATATTCATATTTGAATATTTTATGTAATAAAATGACTATTTTGTAAAAGTCGGACAGAAATCTGAGCTTGTTTAACTTTTCTATTGGCCTATAATTTTAGGAAGTTTAGGACAGAATGGCCTATAACTTTTCTGGTAAATATGCCAGATGTCCTATAGTTACTTAAAAATTATTTCAATCTGAAACCCTGAAAGGTGATTTAAATAATTTGGTACAATTATTGTCTCGTCAGGAGGCTACTTTAAACTAGTTATAATGTTCAATTTCTAAGATTAAATGTGGAAATAATACAAATCATGAGCTTTTCTTCATTACCTACCCGACCCGAGAAACCCGAAACCGAACCTAAAAAAATCAGAACCGACCCGACCCGAAAAATTTTGGAACCGTGACAGCCCTAATCAGAGGGTTTTCTTTTAGTGAACATAAGAAAATTTCAGTATATTTGGCCAGAACTGGCGATAAGACGCTATGAGGAGGCATATGAGTGTGGAAAAACACTCCATGTCAAAAAGGCTAAAATCGGGACGTCCAAAGTGTACGGCAGTCCGTGAGGATCGTTCTTTTTGGCCAATTTTGCTGAGACGCACCGCTTCCAAAGTGCTCTTAATACTGGGCATCAGAGAGCAACGAACAGACAGATTTCTACTCAAACCGTTTGAAACAGACTCCAGGAAGCAAATCTCAAGGATTGCCGACCAGCCGTACGTACGTCCTGTATTAAAATTAGAGTGCCACAGAAATCGACTACAGTGAGCAACAGAACACAAAAATTGGCAATAACATCATTGGTGTTCTGTTCACTTCTCAGACGAGTCCCGATTTTGTTTTGACTTCCATGATGACAGAAGACTTGTTTGGATTGCATATAGGGAAAGATATGCCGAGTGTGTCGTTTCTGAGAAATACAGAGTAAATAGAGGTTTTGTGATGATTTGGGCAGGCATAAGTATTGACTGCAAAACTGATCTGCACATTATTGAAGGCAACCTGACAGGTTGAAAATACTGAAGTGATATTCTTCATCCTAATGTTAGACATATTGCATGGGAGGATTTCATCTTAATGGACGATAATCCTCGACCTCATAGAGTCCAAATCGTAAACGAGTACATGGAAAGTGAACCAACTTAGCGTATGAACCCGCCAAAACGTTTTCTAGACCTGAAGTTAATTGAACATGCCTGTAACATTCTTTAGCAACGCATTTCAGTTCGTCTTACACTTCCCGAAAATCGACGGGAGCTTCAGACAGCATTGCAGGAGGAATGGCAAGCCTTGGACGGCTGATGGGCAGCATGGATCTGCGCTGCCGGGCCTCGCGGGGAGGTCATACAAAATACCAAAATACTGGCAATCATTTTAGTGACGTAATTTGACTATTCTGAAAAAAATCTCATTTTCAGGTCTATTCCCAACATGCCGAATTCTACAGTGACCGCAATGAAAAATTCGTAGCGTGTGTTCAAACACATCCAATGTTTAATTTTCACTTTTTTGTAAAACATAGTTAATTTGATGATCCTCAACTTTGGAAAAAGAATTGGACAACAACAACTTTCACCCTTTGACTTTAGAGTTTGACCTACTTTATAAAGATAAACCTTGACAATATGACGACCACAGAATTTGCGAAATATAAATTACAAACGAGGCTATTGAAATATTGTCTCGTTGTAGATATTGTTCTTCGTAGAGTATGCGCTTGCGTTTTTAATCATATTGGAAGACATAGACTCCGTTGTTATGCAGATGATAATGATAATTTACTACAAATATGGGAAGTTCACAATAACAAAGTTGAAGTCACGTTTTATCAACATTGCAAGTTTTGATGTTAATTTACAATGAACGTCTTTTTTAAAATCAGGGTTACCGTATCTTTTATTTAAAAGGTATATATCGAATCAACGGAGGAGTCAATTGATACAATGCAATTGTATAAAGCGTCGTCGATATATCTAAACGTTGAATTGAAGGCCCCAGCAAGTGACTTCTTCTTTAAAAATACAGGATTTGAATTAATTCTGTTTCATATTAAAAAATATATAGGTTTTGTAATTGGGCACAATTAGTACCCATGGGAATACCGAAAGATTGAACATGGAAGACTTGATCTCCGAAACTTACGCCCGTAACATTGACTTTTGAAATTTGACCTTGAAATTTCAACAGATTAAGACCTTTAACACATGTTGATTTGTTTAAAGAAAGAGTTTTTAAACAGTTTTTTTAGTTACCACATATGTCACATGATAACGATTTCATCACCTATAGAAAAGTCAAGCATCCCTGAATAAGGTATCCACAAAATCATTTTATATGCATAATAGATATACTTTTAAAATAAAGAGTTTATACCGTTAAATAAAAAAAAGTGTGTAATTAATAGGTCCCGGCACCTTGGAGTACCTCGCCAATCCATCGCCAACCATTATGTTTGTGCGAATAATGACACGAACGAGTTAATCACTGATTCTGAAAATCAAGATGGCCGATGATCTGAGAGGCTGTTATACATTACACGAAATGTTCACAATTGTGGGCAGTAGAATGACTCAAAAGGACATTAACATTTTGAAATATCTCTACAACGGTATTATGCCTCAGAGAATTATAGGTCGGGTGAAGGACGGGGTGGAATTTTTGCTTGGACTGGAAAAAATGAACAGAGTAGATGAAACGAACTTCAAATACGTTGTTGATTTGCTGAGGATGATTTCAAGACATGATTTATTGCAGTATGTCACTTTAAGGAAACGTAAACCAGGTATATGTATCCTCTGTTTCAAAGGGATATTTAATTGTTTACTTTAGCTCTGTAATTAACGAATTTAAAATGACATTGTGTTAATATGTTTCAATGTGTTAATATGTTTCAATGCTAAAGTCTTTTTTGTTCAGTTTTTTAGCAGACATACAATTTAATTTTAATAAAGCATTAAAGACGTACAACACACTGGGGGAGATAACTCTTGCGATTTCAATTGAACGTTTGACGTGACGTCAAGTTTAACGTCAAAAATAAAACGTCAAAACGACGAGTAAAACGATCCCGATGTATATCAATCATGAAAGAAAATTGGGATATGGGGCTTGTCTGTGATTGCGCGTACCGTATTCAATCAGTAAGTATTTTTTAAATTAACCCGATTAAACTCCGTAAAAAGCAAGATATAAAATACCATCCCTTAATCATGTTCATATACAATTTTTTGATGAAAGCGCAGCATTTTTTTTTATTCTGAAAATTTTATTTTACATTGCCGAAATTCTCATTATGTACAATTGGCTATATAACATTCCGATTAATGGTCTTCATTACAGTTTGTGCATACACGATATAAATATTGTTTTTCTTCTTTAATTAAATAAAACAACAATAATTAAATAAACGATATACTTTTTACAATGTAAAATCGATGTTGTTCTCAGACCCTTACTGATCAAAGAGGAACAACTCTGAAAATGTAGGAGATGTTTATTTTCCTTCCTTTATTTTTTCACGGTTTCCACAGAATCGGATATATTTACAGCAAGACCTGATAAATCCGACAATTGAATACTATTGACCTCATATACACAATGTAAGTATAGAATTGAAAAGAATTGTTCATTTGTACTGAAATTATCTGCATTTATGAATATCCTATTGCAGCAAATCGTAACTTCGACTTTCTGTCAACAATGTCTGTTCGCATTTCCTTGAATCAAAACAAAACGTAGCCTATAAGATTTTGAAAAATCAATGTGGGATTTGATATAAATTGAAATAGATGAAGAGTTTAATGTTTGATATTTTGAAGTTAATGTGGACGAATACGGAATTTTCATTTTAACTTTAGAAGCGACGACATTGAAAGAAATGCGTACAATATCATGAGGGGTGTATGTACATCTATGATTTAATGCAAATGTCGATGTATCCCCACGGCCACATACTGTCTCGTTTGAAATAAATACATGAAAGAAACTACAATTATTCCATTTATATCACAGAAGAGTTAACATACACCATTTTTATAATGAATAAAATTAAAGAAATAAAATTAAAAATCAACACATCAAGTTCAACGAAAGTCGGAAACTTGAGAATTCGTATCCAGGTTTCATGTGATATGGAATGCATAACGCATACGTATATATAAGGACTAAACACTAAAATCTTTCAGTATTTTTTTCCTGATACATATAAAAAGAGTAGTCAATATTTATTCTGCATTCATGAATTTAAAAACTAATGCATATCTCCGGGATTCTTGACAAAATACCAGTATATTTGCACTGTAAACCACGTTTCGTCCAACGCTAATGGTCTGCGGCGCAAAAAAGGAAGGGGTGGGGGTGATAGGGGTATTCAAAAATTGTCTAAAAATCTATATTTAGATATGCTTTCCATATGAGAACTTTAAAATTTGTAAGTTAATATATTTTTGAAGCAAAAGCAATATTCCAATTTAATTTTTTTTATGTGTATTAGTAGATTCATATAACAAAGTGATCGACCCCCATCTGAAAGACGCGCGGGGGCGTGATTTATTGAGAAAGGGGGAGGGGGTAATTTTCCGCTATTAAATCAAAACTGGTCGAACAAAAATTATACAAAAAATTATGAAGATTATTTTTACTACCAGCTACCTAAAGAAAGTTTTTTACCAAAATTAAACGACAGGTTTTTTCACAAAAAAATGTTGAATTTGAAAAATACGCTATTTTCAAGGCTTAGAAAATTCATAGTTTTTCAGTTTAAGGTCTTTAAAAATTGCTCTGATTATATGTATATCAAAAAGATGACTATGTTTTTGTGTTAAATGGTTAAAGAAATAAGCCGATGAAATTTGACATTGATATCTTATCTGGTTTTATCGAAAATCAAGGTTTAAGTAGTTCATTGATTAAAAATTTTCTCTCCTTGTAAACAACAAAAAGGGGGTAACTTTCGGAAGTTCGTGTCCAAAAACCACTCGAACGATTTTGTCCAAAATATGCATACATGCAGTAGATTTAGTCATGTACTAAATATATAAAAATAACGAAAATTAAACGACAGGAATTTTTTGGGGTAGGTGTGTTGTACATCCTTAAATCAACAGCATGAATATTGATGAACAGAGAATTGCCTAGAACTTACAATTTACAAATTGCACAAAATTTCATATAATGAATAAATGAAGAATTGAGAATTACTGTGATATCTAGTTAGAGTAATCTAACTGTGTCTTGGGACAAGCCTCACCACGTATGTCCCATACGCTTGCAATTTAGCAAATCTGAGTGGACCTGCTTTGAAATGATTTTGAAGAATACAGAAAGGGTTGCGCTGAAAATTAATACCAAATTAACATGAATTGACTATTTGACTGTTGATCAAAACAAACCTTTTTGAGATTGCATATGCCTTTTCCCCTGAAAAATAATCAATATATTATAAATATAATGATGAAAATTCAACTAGTTTCACAACTTCTTTTCTCACTTCAAATTTTCACTCCATGTTTACATTCAGATCTCTCCCCATTGTCCGTTGTAAATGCTAAATTATGAGTGGAGATAATTAGATTTCCAATGGTTTCTCCTTTTTCCAGTGTGTCCAGATCCTGTCAATGAATATCTAGAAGAAGCATCCAGATTATCAAACATACCAACTAACGTCCCAAGGGAAAGAAAGCGAAAAGGGGCGGAACCGTCGGACCAGAAAGACTTCAAAGTCAGAAGGCGGTCACTACACAGGAAAGCTAAGTCTAGGTCTGGGTTTGCTAGTGAACCCACGCCCAGCCCAGGGACTGCTTCCTCTACCTTTGGTCCTGGACCTCTTGTTCTAGATGACAGTGATGCAGACCTGACAACAACTACAACAAAAGTTACTTGTGGTAAACTATAAACTTAATTTTCATGTATCTTTCCTTTACAATGAATTATATAATGAATATTCTATTAAGTTATTTTCAAGCTAGGATATTTCAAGGACACAGTATTCATATATTTGATAAAAAATTAATTTGATTGACTTCATCCATTGAACTTTTTACAAAATATTTTTTGTTTTTATCAAATATCATGTAAGGCAACTTATTAAGTGAACTAAAACACACTTTAAGGATGACGTTTACTCAGGTTTCAGAAATCAGAGAGGAAATTTTATAAACTATAATATATTAAATCAAAAATTGTTCTAAATGGATAAAAAAGCTAAGTTTTATCTCAATATCAATTAAAAAATTTAATATGTAAGTATTTGACGAAAATATACAGGAACAAAACTCAATGTATGGCTATGCAGAGGAAATTTGGACTAAATTCTTAATTTGTCATTTTTGTCAGCATTTTTATTTCTTGCAATATTAATTACAAAGTAAAGGTTACTTGTATTTTAAGACATCATTTTGCAAATTTTATATGTGTTTAAGCTTATGAATTATTTCAAATAAATAAATGCTATGAAATAAAGAAATTCAAAAAGATGTACAAAAATCGCTCCAGTCGACATATCTCAATAATTTGATCATTGACCCCATATAATATTAATACCATGAGAATAAGGGTAACAAATGTAACATGAGGCTATAAATAATTTAGAGTTCTTATCAGTCAGATTTTTGCAATATTTGATTAAAAATAGGAAAAAAACATAAATATGACAGAGGAAATTCGGACTGTAATAATTATCACGTTTATGGCCCAAACTCTGCTCATTTCTTTATAAGGCGCAATTCTGTTCCATTGCTATAATGTTTTATTATTTAAAGAGTTCTGTTGCTTCTAATATTTTCCGAGTGAAGAAAAATATGGTCATAGTGTGAAAAATTGAGGTATTTCCCGAGAAATACTCAGGGTCTCGTAGCATGAAAACAAGGTCATTGACCTAGTTATTTGAAATAGAAATTTAACACAAGAATCATAGGTGTACAATGTGCAATAGGTAGTTTTTCGTTCTTATCAGTGGAATTTTTAGTCATCTGAGTAAAGGTATACCTTAAAATGATACACCACTTGCATTTACACATTTTTGTGTGTTCACAGTAACTGTACATTTGTTCTGTGAGTATCAAATTGTATGATTGAAAATACTGAAATTTTTGAAAAAATTGTGTAGCTATTATTTATTTTGTTAACCTGAGAGTTGATCATGTTTCTGGTATTTATGCATTTCAATCTTTGATTAGTGCTTTGATGTTTTCCCCAGATATTCGACTAAGAGTGAGGGCTGAATACAGCGACCATGTGACAGCACTCACAGGAAACGTGAACTCCAACAAACCCACTCAGCTAGAGAGACAGTTTGAGAAATTCATGCAAGCCACAAACATTCTAAAGTCCAGGGATCTGGGATCCATTGTGTGTGATATCAAATTTACTGAACTGACATATCTGGATGCTTTCTGGAGAGATTATCTGAATGGATCTTTATTAGAAGCACTCAAGGGAGTTTTCATTACAGGTGTGTATAGACCCTCCAATTTAAGCAAACCTTGATCAGTTATGAAATTAATATATATATACAGTGGAGCCTCATTTATCCGGATGCTTTGGTTCCCAGTTAATTTGTCCACATATGTGAAGCATCCGGATATCTGAATTACCAGTTAAACAAGACAAAATAACATTAAAAAATTGTGTTACGATGAAAAATCCTCCGGATACTGAAGCATCCGGATATCTGGTGTCCGGATATCTGAAGGTCCACTGTATATCATTACCACCCCTTTGTACTTATGTTAACAAGTTTAGGAATGAAAGCTGCAGGGGTGTGCAATTACAAAAATAAATTACTAGCCCGTCGGGCAATGGCGGTAACAGAGTTACTAGCCCGAGGGTGCCAGTCACTAGCCCATTAACTACCGAAAACAATACATGTATAAGTATAACATAAAGGTTAAAAAAAACATTTAAGTTGAAATAAATAAAACAGATAATGGTTTGCGCTTTGTAATTGTCAGGTACTTCCCCCTATTTATATCGACTATAATTGTCACTGAGATGACTGGCGATAGGAACACACAATGCATATATGTTAAAACAAATTAAAGATTATGATTTTACAGAAAAGTTAATTCGTACCTCAATTCAGTCGAGGTAAATATATGTTTACTTTCGTTTCAGATTAACTAGCCCAACGGGCTTACGCAGTATAGATTTAAGATAGCCCGACCTCTAAAATTGGTAGCCCCGGGCATCAGGCGATGGTAATTGCACACCCCTGTAAGCTTTGTAGAATAAAATGATCACAATATAGCCACAACTTTAAAAAAAATATATTTTTATAGCATTTTTTTTTTTTAAATCATTGGAGTTCAAAATTTTACCAGATTTTATTAGCTCACCTGGACAGAAAGCTCAGTTGAACTCTTCTGATCTCATTTTGTTTGTAAACTAACTCTAAAAAAAATCTTGAACCTCTTTAAAAAGGGCATGAGCACAGGCCATTGGAAATTCCAGAGTTAAAAAAAATTGTTTAGGAAAAGATTTTTAAAATCTTATCATGATAAGCAAGGTCATGACTAGTCATTTTAAAACAGAAAAATCCTCTGGACATAATGTAGAATCAATTTTGTTCAAATCATTACTGTGGTTATAGGATGGGGCCACAAAGGGCAATCAAAGATTTACATATGAATACATGTATGAAGGGAGAATAGTGGGAGAAAAAATTGAAGTCCATGGGCCTCTTGTTTAAGCATAAATCAGGACTCATACCCAATAAATTTGGTTTATTTTCTTTTTACAGATTCTCTAAAGGAAGCAGTTGGTAATGAGTCCATTAAACTGTTAGTCAGTGTGGATGAAGATGATTATGAAGCTGGAAGGTTGCTGCTTTTAGAAAACATGAAAAGGTCAAATCAACAATAAAATGTAAACATTGATTATAAAACATGGAAACACTGGAATAATTGTGTTTTTTAGATTGTTGCATGAATCATGTTTTTTCCCATCTAAATGTATTTTTTTCATTTACATGTATGGAAGACACAGTTGTCAGTAGAAGAAAGCATAATGTTTTGATGTACAGTATATGTATATGAAATTCAATGTATATTTTGCAATAGGAGAAAAGGATTTAATTCATTACTATGCTCTAAAATAAGATTGTTTTTTTTTTCATTATGTATTATAATAATCATTGTTTTTATCATGTTTTCTTATTATTTATGAAATAATATGATGTTTTTGTAATATTTATAAATAAACAAGCTTTAAATTCAAGCTTATCAATTTCGATAAAACAAATGAGTCGTGCAGTAGCTTATAAATACTTATGTAGACAAAGTTATGGTATTCAGCATATACATATATGCAATGTAAGTTTACTAAACTATATTGAAAGGAAAGAGAAACGCTGAGTAAATTGTTGAGGGGAAATAATTTTATTTTTCCTTTTGTACTTTCTGGTATTCCTATCTAACATTTAAAATCATGTTGAATGGTAATGTAACCAAAATTCCAATTAAATTTGTCTCAATTCATGAGGTATTGAAACGTATTATGACCCCCCCCCCCACCTAGAAGGGAAAATTGAAAATACTCATAATCTTCAATGTCTCCTTTGCGCATCTGTCACAACCTAGCTGCAGAAACGTACATGGTTTTTTATATTAGTCTTTGATCATAAAGCTACAGATCCCGTAATACAAAAAAGAATGTTCCAATTTACAACGCAAGATTTTTTTTGCGCATTGTTAGGGAGAATTTATGCACTTCCCAGCATCGTTCATTCAACTACCTTTCACTCCTTAGTTCTAGACACATTCTTTAACCAGTCTGTATTTTTTTCCACCTCCCAACCCTTTATAAACGAGATGTTTTTTAAAACACATGCCCCCTCTTCCAAATAATTGGTATTTTTTATGAAGATCAAGCAACATAACTTTGTCAAAAATGACTCAATCCTACCCAAAACAGAACTTGACCTAGATATTTTTAAGATAAATTCGTAAACGTATTTTTATTCAGTATGTGGAACTTCTGAAAAGCATACATGCCAACTTTTGAAAATTCCCATGGGGGATTTAGCGCGTGACGACAATTTTCAAAGCTTTAAATTCGCGACATTTTGTCGTGAAATTAAATGATAATGAAATGATCTTTTTTTAATTTATAATATTTGATATCACTTATCATATGCCTATTAATACAACTAAAAGATTAATTTAACACAAAAAATTAATTTAAAAATTTTTTTTAAAATGATTTTTTTTCCAAAATTGAAATATTTTTGCTAAAATAAGTGCCTCTCTCATTAAAAACATGATTTTTTTTTCTACCAGCTAGGACACATAATTTAGTGAAAAATTGAAAATTGTACAACTTTTAAATCATTTTTTTAAAGGCTAAAAAATATATGAGGTTTTGATACTGTAAAGTCCTGTTTCTGGAAACATTTTTGAGAATTTTTTATTTATATTTCAATTAATTAGAAATTCTAATAAGGTATTAAATTTACTGAAATTTATACCACCTATCCAAAGGAGAATTATTTTTTTTACAGTCATGAAATTTGTCAGGCTTGATGGTGCCATGTGGGTATTTCCTTAAGTCATGCACATATCTAAAAAATATAACTTTTGGGAGAAGGAAGGGAAAGGAAATTCTTATTGACATACACTTGATTGTTTCATCTTAATTTCATAATATTTTAACTGGCAAACTTTACAATATTTTTCATTATACGTTGATAAAATCAGCAGTTATGCTTTGTAGTTTTCTACTTTCGTTTTCAAAAATCGATCTCTTTGGATTCCGATTTTATAGTTTGATTAGTAATTCATTGTCTTTAATTTATGTTTTTAATAAAATGACCAACAATTAAGACGTTAATCTATGTGTTTCACCTTGCATACCCCTTAAAACTGACAAGATAATCCCCTAATTGCCCCAAGCTATAAGGTACTTGTACCTGGACAACTGCGTGCGTTCAAGCGTGAAGTGATTTCCTGTGGCTAAATAACATTGTTAGATGAACAATGAAACTTATCTGAGTGCATTGAATAAACAAGTTTGACATTGTTATCCCGATTGTCAAAATTCAGCGGTAGGGAATCTTTTATAATCGGAAATTTTAGAGATTTTTTTCAAATCGGGAAATTAGGGCAATTTTGCTTTCCCGATCGGGAAGGCGGGATGAAAGGGTAAAATCGGGAGGATCCCGCCTAAATCGGGAAAGTTGGCATGTATGGAAAAGAAAAGAAAATGAACAGAAACTGCGTATAATCAAATTTTCAAAGTCCAACTCCAAGGGGCACAACCCTCAAAAATGTCTTTATCGTACTCAAAACAGAATCTGGCCTAGATATTCTTCTGATAAATCTGTATACCAAACACATCAATATGTGCAAGCTAAAGGGAACGGAAACTGCAAATAATTGGATTTTTTTCTAAGTCCTAGGGGTATAACTCTGTCCAAGATGACCCGAATGTACCCAAAACAGACGTTGATCTAGATATTCTTTTGATAAATCTGTATGTATATACCAAACTTCATTTCAATACGTGCGGCCCCCCTGCGAAGAAAATGAACGGAAACTGCAAATAATTGGAAATTTTCTAGGTCGAAGGAGTCGCCCGCGTGACGCAGTGGTTAAAGTGTCTGCTCAAGAATCGCGAAGTAAAGAGTCGATCCTTCCGTCGCGGGCTCGAATCCACTTAGGGACGTGGAGACCGGATTTATACCATTCAAACCGAAGTCCCATGTTGCAGTAGGTGCTGGCACGAAAAAGATCCCTCACTGCTCAATGGCCCTCAGTGCCGCGTTCAGGACAAAATTGTAGCTCTCCACCGGCAAGAGGTGGCGTCTCCAAAAAATCTCGAGAGGGACATTAATTTAAACATACATTCATTCAATCAATCGATGTCCAAAGGGCATAACTCTATCCAAATTGACCCGATCGTACCCCCAAACTGAACCTGGCCTGGATATTCTGATGATAAATATGTATACCAAATTTCATATCAATATGTGCAACCTCTGTGAAGAAAATGAACGGAAACTGCAAACAATTGGAATATAAGTCCAAGGGGCAGAACTCTGTTCAAAATGGCCCGAATGTACCCAAAACAGAAATAAATTTAGATATTCCTATGATAAATCTGAATACCAAATTTCATTTCAATATGTGCAACCTCTGTGAAGAGAATGAACTGAGTCTGCAAATAATAGGATTTTTTTCAAAGTCCAAGGGGTATAACTCTGTCCAAAATGGCCCGAATGTACCCAAAACCGATTTTCTTCTGATATTTGCAAGCTCTGCGAAGAAAAGGAACGGAACTGCAAATAATTGGAATTCTTGTAAGTCCAAGGGGCTTAACTCTGTCCAAAATGTCACGATCGTACCCAAAACAAAAATTGATCTAGATATTCTTAGGTTAAATCTGCATACCAAATTTCATTTCAATATGTGCAACCTCTGCGAAGAAAATGAACGGAAACCGATGGTGGACCAACAGGCAGACAGCAGCAAGGGAGGGGGGGGGGGGGTATGAAAAGAAATAATGGATATGAAAGAAGCTGGAACCAACGCATCTATTGAATATTTAGTGATAATATGTCATCCCCGCGCCTTCTTCGAAGGGGGGGGGGGCATGAAAAGAAATAATGGGTATGAAAGAAGCTGGAACCAACACATCTATTTAATATTATGATAAATCAAGAAACTAGGACTGTGCGTATTTTAACAGTACAGTGCAGTTGAAAAGTTTACTTAAATTTATTTAATAAAGTTGAAACACATACAACATGTAATAGTTATTGTATATTTATTATGGTGTATCCTGAGTTATTTGGACGAAGGGCGGTGACGAGTGCGAAGCACGAGTAAATATTCAATAACTTTCTTGTATCATGGCCAATCAAACGTCTTGTCACAGATTTTCAGCATGATTTTTAAT